ACTAATGACTTAATTGCTTTTGGCCAATCTAACAGATGACAAAGGTTTTACTACCCCTATGGATTTTAATGTAAAACCGAAGAAAGATTGTGGACCACCTATTTTTGATCCTAATATGTATCGACGTCTTGTTGGTGATCTACTTTATCTTACTATTACTTGAATAGATATTTCTTTTGTAGTTCAATTGTTAGTAAATTTGTTTTTAATCTAAGACGGTTACACCTTTCTACGCTTTATCAAATCGTTCAATATCTTACAGGAACCTTTAATCGAGGCTTATCTTTTTCATTTGAATCATTTTTATCACTCATTGCTCTTTTAATGCAAACTATGTTGGATGTCTTGATACTAGGTGCTCAACTACAAGATGGTTTGTTTTCTTAGGATCATCAACAATATCCTAAAGATGTAAAAAGCAAGATAAAGGTTGTAGGTCCTCTACTAAAGCTGAATATTAATCTCTGTTATCAATCTCTTCACTTCAACAACTTCTCAAAGATTTCATAGCACGTTTGGTTCATAGAATAGAATGGAATATAATAGAATATGTATTTTGTGGGAATAGAATAAGATAGGAATAAAATAAAAATATTATTATATAGTTTGGTTGATAAAATAAAATAAGGTAGGAATTGCTATTATGGCTTATTGTAATGTTTGGTTAGTAAAATAATTTTATAATAACTAAGAATGGCAATGGGTCCTATAACAGGGTATCCGCGAGTATTCGATCAAATTATATAGGATTAAGGTATCTTATATTCAAGTTGGGGGTAAGTTTGGATAGTAGTTTTACTACTATTATTGGGTTTAGGTATGGTTCAGGTAGCAAGTACTTGATACCTTAACCCAATTATGTATTATACAGTATATAATAGATAATTAAATATATAAAATTTTGTTAATATTAGGAATTGAACTTTTCATTTATAATATATTATTATTAGTCAAATTATTAATGATATGTCATTAATATATTTAAATCATAAAACTATTAAATTATTAGTTATGTTTAAATAATATCATATTACAAGGAACATAATTACTATTATATCTATATATATTACAAAGTGTTATAATTAAATATAACAATCAATTATACTTGTATTAAGATTATAGGTATTTAAATTTTTGAAATTAGAACATAAATAATATAGTTTTGTGTTAAAGTCGTGCTATATGTAATTATAAGTTATATATTTTAAATGATATAAATTATATATTAATATTATTTTATGACTAATAAATATCTCACATATTACTATTATAATCATTAGATAGTATTATTTTCCCTATGTAAACCTATATCCTACATATAAATAGGTTTTATTAATAGGTTATAAATATTAATATATTTAATTTATATATATAAACATTACTATCTACTATATACATATTAACATATTAAATAAGTTATATTTAATAATAATTACTATGACTATGTCATACGTATTAATGTGTTAAATGAATAGATTATAATATTGATGTATTTAATTATATATAAACATTGCTATATACTTATTATAATAAAATAATTTGTTAGTTATCATTATGACATAAATGTAATTTATAAAATTATAAAATTATTAGTGTTACATTTATGCTTACATTAATAAAACATACTAAAGTATTTCTAAGTGATAATAAGTATTAACAACATTTCATTTATATGTACAAATAAAAAAAATAAAAGTAATAACTATAACTTATAAGTTGTTTGAGATATTTGTTATTCAAGTTATTATTTGAGATATTAGTTTTTGATTATTATAATCTAAATTTTATTGCTTGTTTGCTTTTATAAATTTAATTATTAGTGAATTGTATGGATGCCAAATATAATTTATTATTGCATGCGGGTTCGGATTTGAGTAATTGGGTATCCGTAAAAAATATAATAACTTCTTTATACATAATCGGGTTTTTAAACAAATTCAAGCAATTACCGAGTAGTGGGATGGTAATAGGATTTGAGTTCAGGTAATAAATTTTAAAAATATTCAAGTAGTTATAAGATTTGAGTACTTTACCTATTAATCAAGTTCAGGTATCTCAAAATTAGCAAGTACCTTACTTGTTAATGAATAACAAAGAATAAGGGATAAAAAATACAATACCCTTTATTATAAGATATAATTATTTATTTTTATTTATTTTTTAAATCATAAAAATTTATATTTAATTTAAAATTTGAATAATTGATCATTTAAATATTAATATTTTATTTATAATTTAAATATTATTATGATTAAAAAATAATAATTTTAATTAATTTCAAATTTAAAATATTAGTTTTTATAGTATATAATTAAAATTTTAAAATTTTTTCTTTTTATAATAATATTAGTAATTGATCATTTAAATACTAATATTTTATTTATAATTTAAATGTTATTATGATTAAAATATTAATAATTTTAATTAATTTTTAAATTTAAAATATTATTTTTATAATATATAATATGTAATTTTTCAAACTCGTAGGGACATTTTTATCTTTTATTATTTTTGAAGATTATTTCCCAACTAAAGAATAGCTAATACGATTGGTATTAGCTATTGTTTGGCTTTAGTTGATTTAGAAAATAGTCATTCCAAACCTTGCAGCATGGCAACCAAACTTTTATCAGAAAGCTAATACAAGACAAAACTTCAGTTCTATCGCATGTGCCTTCACATGACCACATTGCAAACCCATTTACAAAGTTCATGCCCACTGCTCAACATGATTATTTGGTTGACATATTTGATGCTTGTAAAGTTCAATCCTAGTTGGCTACAATCGGACCCACAATCAGCATATTTTACTCCTTAATTGATGTAGGTACCTCATGTACAAATAGCATTCTATACACAAATTATAATTCATTTAGGATTCAACAATCCTCATTACTTTTAGTCAATTTAATTTGATTGATTTGTCAAATTCTCATATCTAATTATAAAGATTATCTATGCAAATAAGTTACCTGAACTAAAATAAAAGGACAAGGAAAAGTCATGACATGTTAAACAATACAAGCAATCTAGGAGATCCCAAAATTTGTGTTGGTTTTGACTAGGGATGAGTCCCAAAGAGTATAAAGTGAGCCACAATTTTCTCCAGGGCCAAGAAAAATCCTCTGCCACATGGAGCTTTCACCCTGTGGTTTGGGTAGCAAAAGATCCTGGATGGGCCATCCTACAAATCCTTCACTTTAGTCAAGGAGCACATGCAAATGAAAAGGACTTTACTGTTCTTTTCTTTTATTTTTCCAGTGTTCATTGCCTGAAAGTGAAGGAGGAATTGCAACGGATGGATGATGTAATTCGTTGAAATTATGATTCTTTTAATGACAAACTGGTGAGATAGGCCAAAGGTGACAGATTTTCTGCAATAGCTAAAGGCCAGAATGAAAAGGCATAAATTAATGTCATTTTGCCCAAGGTTGGTAAGTAATAAGTATTCTTTAATCACATCACATGCACGATAATTAAAGACTTCAAAGGTAAACCAACCTACTTCCATTTATCATGGAAGCAACTTGACTTTACTAATTATTCCTATTTTTTTTTTCCTTAATTCTTTCAACCATTGGCAAATGAATACGTAAGAATTACAAGTGAAAATCTCTTCCTAAAAAATTGATTGGTCGTTCCTTTGAATTCAGACTCAATTTAATTAGAAAAATCAATAATTTAAATTCAAAATGATTTGAATTAAAAATTATCTGATGAGCTAAAGGCCCAATTTAAGATGCTTTTTCGGTCAATCTGAAAAATAAAATGAAGGGATATTTGAGTAGACATTTTATATTTGAACCATAAATTTATTACTGTGTTTAAATTATCCTTGAATGGGTGGTTAAAGCTGGAAGTACAAGCACCAAACAAGGGATAGTCCCATTGAAACGCCCAGAGCTTATACTACAGTTGGTTTAAAACAGGAAGGAAGATTCGTGGAGGCAATGTGAACAAAGTGAAAGAAGGCTTAACGCTCGACAGATGACGTCGACAGACAACTTGGGGGTTAGTGACGTGGCAGAATGTGGGACCACAACGTTCAAATAAATGCCTGTGTGTTTTTGCCAGGTGTCCTTGCTATCTTTATTTTCCTTTGCTGCTACCTAATTAAAAGAAACATTTGGACCCATTTTCCACTTTGAATTGTGTGTTAGGAGAAGCCTAAAGGGAAGTTATGGAGGGCATTGATGATGGTAGTAGCAAATACCAAGGTACGATAATGGCAGCCTTGGCAGCCTGGCATACACAAATTTGCCTGGTGTGGACAATGTTGTAGGAGTATACCTAGAAAGATTTGGCTTGTTTAGTATCTGTGTGTGTCATCAAGGAAGGTAGCTGTTTTATGTTTTCTATGTAATGTTTTCCTTGAACAAATTATGGGGATAGTTGGCTTGGGTAATCAGTTGCTGTGACACAAAAAAAAAAAAAAAGAATAATAATAATAATATTAAATCAGTTGCCAAATTCATCAATGTTGTGTCTCCCATTAAAAAGTTTCTTGGTGTGCATTTAGTTTCCTTTTCAATTATGGTGTTGATGCTGAATCAGGACCTAGGAGCTTCAGAACCAGCTGTGGGGATGAACACTCATTTTCCAGATTTAGCACTTGAATGCAAATTGCATGACTTCGTTCCAATTAATACAACATAGATGACATTTCTTAGGGTGTCTTATTGTCTGTAATCTGGTAATGCCAGAAAATTTTAAACCTTGGACATGTAATTACTAGAAAAATTTTTCATCAGTTAAATTCTTCAAGATTTTCAGTCTCATTTTGACACTAATGAATTGGCATTAAAAATAAATGCGACTACCTTCAATGTATCCTACCACTGCTGCCACTACTTTTGCCCCTTTTTTGTTCTCTCTTTGCTAAATTAAACAGAATCACCCAAATACATGGCAGCAACAACCGTAAATGGAAAGTCGGACAAGGAAGATTGTTTGAAGGTGAACTACTGTGAGATTACTCAAATACATAAAGGAACTCCATCCACCTAAGAACTTTGATCCATTTATAATTCCATTAAAAAAGTTAGCTCCCATACTTGTTGTTTGAAGAGCAAAAGATAACAGCATTGTTTAGGCTTCAAGCCAGTGGACATCTTAATAAAAGCAAGGAGAGCAAGAGGTAATGCAAAGAAAGCATCATTCAAAGGCATTTGACTTCATTACCACAAGCATATGCTTCTTCTGTGCAATCCTCCAAGCTTGATTTATCAAGCAAAAAAGGATATGCCTTATCTTTGTCCCGAGATATTTGAAAAATAAAAGATCGCCTGTCATGGATGCCTAGCATATCTTCACTGGAGTGAATACGGCTTCTAAAACTTGAACCATCCCAGGAACTCCCAAATTCATCTTCACTAAGAAAGGTTGAATATATGATTTCCTTTTCAGGTATTTGATGATCATTATAGGTAGATGAGCATCGATCTCTTACTAAACCACTAGATTGTAAGCATTTCCATTCTACATCAAGAGCAAAGGAAAGGTGGGTTCCACTACCAGGAATACTGTCCTCCTCACCAAAAGCCTTTTTGAGGAACCCAAGGTGATTTCCAAGAGATGGGAGAATATCACTTGTCTCACTACCTTTACATGCAATTTCATAATAATTGCAATCCCCAATTAGATTAAGGTATTTTGACGAATGTGATAAGGTCAAAGGAAGAGGGTTCAAATCTGCAACTGTTTCTTCCTTTTCTTCTAAAACAGATCCTCCAAGCTCTTGTTTGTCACAGCTGGTACTAGTGGGAGGCACTTCTGTGTAAAAATCTTGGGGATAATTCCTCAGGACAGATGATGAACAAAACCTAAATGTACCATATGATTCAGATAACATAGTTAGACTTTGGTGTTGATCCCATGAACTTTGTACTGCAGGAACTATGGTCCAGTTTGTATTCTGACAAGTAGCAGATAAGCTCCTTTCATTCATGTTTATAGAATCCCATTCAAGCAGTAGAAATGGCTCTCTTCCAAGCAAGGATCCATTTGGGTCATGGAAATCATCTAGCTCTTTGAAAGGACTAAATGGTGGAAAAGATCCATGTCTCACAAACGGAAAGCTAAAAGTGGAGTCACCTTCAATGCAGGAGAACAAATTTTTCCCTCTTAGTTCACAGCTAGGTAAATCTAAATTCTTTCGAATGGTGTTGTGATTGTTAAAGGCTGGAGTGCAGATATTAGAGCTCCTCGTGTCCCTTGATCTGTCTGACCAATAAGATGATGTATCATTTTCCAAGTACGGCAAATATTCAACTTCCATGATGTTCCTTGTTGGCATCCTATAAAGTTTCTTGGAAGGAATATCAGACTTAGGGCAGGCAAGTAACTGAGTTTTGGTATCATTCTCTGCTGGTGCTGAATCTGCGCTTCTGAAACTCTGCAGGAGCCAATATTTTTTCTGATAATCAAGTTAACAAAAGAAGTCATATCATACAGAGGGTTGAAAGGGCATTACGTTTTTCTCATTGTTCTGAGGTAAAAGCCGACTAAGGATCATTGAAATAAGATCATACCTGAGAGAACATCTACTCAATGCATAATATGAATTGTCAAAAACAATGAAATTAACTTTTGATCATGAGAAGTCTGACCCCTTGGAACAGAGTTCCTCCATCTCAGGAGATGAATTATGAGCCCATTGATGCAGTTTCTGTCTCTTTTTAGAAAATAATTCCACTTGATCAGACTGAGACCCTGAAATTTGAAATTTTCTGATTTTATTTCATGATTTATGGCTTATAATGCTCAGTTTTAGCCAATGACTAATCTTGTTTCAAACAGCAGACAATGCTTTGATGTATTTTTTTTCCATATAGAGTTTGAAATTCCAAGCTAAAAACAAGACCTCAGCCCCGTTTGCCAAGAATCAAGATGCAAAGACAAATGGACAATTTTGATTGCTAGAACAGAAGCACAACTGCAGAAACATATGCAGCATTCCCCTATCTCTATTTTCTGCTATTTACCACCTTTGCTTTTGAATAGAGAAAACAAAGATTGTAGATTGGTAACAGACCCTGGTCTCTAATTGCCAGTATCATGCTCCTAACAATTTTCTATGCTGCATATAAACTCAAAGGCTGAAAAGGCTTTCTTTAAATTGACCTCTGTTAAAGAAGCAGGAACACTGGTTACTTGCAAGAATAACTTCATAATCTTGACTTCTGTGGGGACTGGACATGAGATATTTAACAAAAGAGTTTCAGTGGGGTCTGGCTATGGACACAAAACTTGGAAACTTTGCAGTGATACTAGGACAATACTTAAGAAAAGTATGGAGATTCATACAAACACTATGAACAGAAACGAGCATGTAGTAGACTAATAGTTGCATCAATAAAATAAAACTGATAACCCCAGCTGAAATGACATTTATTGAAGCAAACCTACTTAGAGTAGTTAAAAGACAAAGTTAGGAACCAGTCAACCAAGGAATTGCTATGAACAAGAAATTAAGAATTTGTTTTACCTTCCATACCCCAGTCATTTGCTGCTCCGTCAACAGGTGAGAGGAATGAATCAAAGTTGACACATGTCACATTGTTAACAGGCAACGATGATCCTGAGTCCTTAGAACTAACATGTTGACTGGACAAAAGTGATCGCAACTCCTTTGAGCTAACATTTCTGACAGACAATGGGGATCTAAAGTCCTTAGAGCGAGTTGTAATAATGTTGGTCCCCTCCGATGACCTGGAGATGTTCCTAACTATATTGGTGCCCTCTAAACAGTAAAGAAGAAAATATCAAAATTTTCTTTTAAGCAAAGAAACCTGGAAATGAATGCACCTAACAAAATGAAGTCGAAAGCAGTCAAGTGAGGACAATATCCAAGTTTATCCTACCTACTACTTCTCGATGTTCAGTAGAATTCAACTTGTTTGATTGGTTTTTCTCCCTTCGCATTGAATGAGAATCATATTTTTGGCCGGCATCTTTCTTCAGCTTCTTGAAAAACGCATACTCGGAAGTTTTAGGGCCATCAGCTACAAATCCATGGTTATGATAATCCATAAAAAATTTGAACCATACCATAAACAAACTTCTTCAAACGCTTATCTAAGAAGATAGAAGCAAAAAGTAAAGCATTAGGCAATCTAACTGAAATCCCTTCCAAGTTTAAAAGGAAATTATTTCTAGGAAAGTCTATAATGTCCAAACAAACAAAAGCTAAAAGAGAATTAATAAAGGTCAACTCATATTTGAATGATAGCATCGTGTAAAGCCAGAGAAATTCAAAATTAAACTCAATCTTCGTTCAATAACTGGAATAATTGGGGAAAAAAAGGGGAAAAAACCTCGATTTGATCGGGAATCGGGTCGGGTTGTGGCGCTATGAACTCTGTGGAGAGCTGCAGGGAATGAAGTTCGAATTGGAGGTTCGGTGTTAGTATCGCGGTTTCTTCTTTTCATTATGATCTCAGTTCTTTCATTTGGTATTGGATTTTGGGGATGGAATTGAATCAAAAACCCTAGCTTTGGTTGGGTAGGGATTGGGGAACCGAAACTCGTCGGGTCTTATGGCCGTTGTTATTGGTTAACTTGTTTGAGAAGGGAAACTAGAAACTGGAGAAGCAGCACTAGCTTAGGCGCCAAAACGGCACGTGAGAGGGAGGGTGCACTATGAAATAATTTTTAATAAAAATATAAAAATTAAGTAATACAAAATAAATAAAGTTTTATTTGTTGTTTCAACAAATAATGTATGATGAATTTTATAGTAAGACTAATCTTACTGTAAGGTCAATTAATATAATTTAAAAAAATAATAAAAATTTGTTTAACAGATAAACAAAAGAGGTAATTTATAAACTTATTCATTATATATTAACAATATAAGTTAATTTTTAAATTTATTTATTTTATTTTAAATATTATTTTATTTTTACCCTAAAATATAAGAATATTATTATTTTTAATTAATTTAATTTGATTAAATTTATTATTATGATTTGTTACATTAAATTTCACACATTTACATCAATATTTTAACAATACTTATTCCAACTTTATAATTTTTTATGTTAATTCTTATAGATTTATGTCAAGATATTTCAAGTACTAGATTTTACTATAATTATTTTTATCTTTATTATTATTTCTTTTTAAAGTAAATTTGTAAACCGTTAAATACTTTAAACTAGAAAAAATAAATTTAAATATTTAATTTTTTAAAAAATTATATTTATTTGACATAATTGACTTGTTAGATTAAATCTCATATGTTTACGTCAATATTTTGATAATATCTATTTTACTTTTATAATTTTTATATTAATTCTTACTGTTTTACGTCAAAACTTTTGAAATATTGATTTTCATTATAATTATTTTTATCCTTATTATTATTCATCTATTAATTAAAATTTAAAAATTGTTAAATACTTTAAACTTGAGAATATAAATTTAAATGTTTAATTTTTTAAAAAAATTATATTTATTTAATATAGTTGACTTATTATGTTAAACCTCACACGTTTACGTTAATATTTTAACAATACTTATTCTATCTTTATAAGTTTTTTACGTTAATTCTTATTGTTTTACATCAAATTTTTTTAATTAGTATTTTTTAATATAATTATTTTTATCTTTATTATTATTCATCTATAAATTAAAATTTGTAAACCGTTAAATATTTTAAACTCAAAAATAGAAATTTAAATTTTTAATTTTCTAAAAAATTATGCTTATCTTTAAGCAAGGAGATCATGCACCAATCAATGAGTCAAATGCTGTAGGAACTATTCTTATCTTTACTATTCTTCCTTTATAAATTAAAATTTGTAACCTATTAAAAACTTTGGTGAATAGAGTTGAAGGAAAATTAAAATGATGGAAGTCCAAATTATTATTTATAGGTGGCAGGGTCATTGTGTTAAAAGTAATGATTAACAGCTTACCAATTTTCTTTGTGTCTCTTTTTAAAATTCCATGTGAGATTAAAGAAGAGTTGGAAAGGTTCAACGCAAGTTCTTGCGAAGGATGTCAATCATAACAAGGCAATTCATTTTATTAGATAGGAGAACGTTTCTCGATATAAAGAGAATAGGGGATTGAGGTTAATGGAAGCCTATTTACTAAATGGTTGTGGAGATATGGAAACTGAAAAGATAGCCTATGGAGAATAATAGTGGCAAAGAAGAATAACTACAATCCATGTACCTTGTTACCTAAAGTTGTTATTACTCGTAATTGTTCTAAATTATGGAAAAATATCATATCCTCTCTTATGCCTCTTAATAAAATTTTCTTGCAACTAATCTAGGTGTGTATTGTAGGTGATGATTTATCAACTTTATTCCAGCATGACATGTGGATGGAGGATACAGTGTTAAACACAAGTTTTTCAAGACTATGCTTTGGCTATAAATAAAAGAGGCGGGTTATGTGAGCATGGTCATTGGATAAAGAATGGGTGGCAATGGAGAATAAATCTTAGAAGGCAATTATTTAAATGGGAATTCAAACAGTGGCCTAGATTATGGAATCACTTAAAGGGAGTATTCCTTAGGGGATGGCTTCAAAGATGAACTTATTTGGAAGGCTACTCTAAATGGAAGGTATTCCTCTAAGTTAGTTTTCCGTTTAGCGTATAATTTTGAATCATTTATGTTTTGGGGAAATATTTGGCTTAGACATGCACAGTATAAAGTAGAGGCATTCGTATGGCGATGTGGGAGAGAATTCCGTTAAAATTTGAACTTATTGAAAGGCAGTTAATAAGGGAGGATCAAGCTTTATGTGTAATCTACAATAAAAGTCTTGAGACCATTAATCACTCACTTTTTTCATGTGAAAAGGTTTGGAAACTTCGGGGAATGTGGTTTTTTAAGTGGAAGATTAATTGGATCACTCCGGTTACTCAACAAAGTTCTTTCTTGTCTCGAGATTGAATTGTGTGTCTACAAATAGATGAAAGATATGGATGATGGCCTTTTATTCTTTAATATGGTCAATTTGGTTGTTCCACATATAATGGGAGGAATCGAGATATGAGGTAGTGTCATGATTTAGTTAATATGCTTATAGCGGTTTGATGCAAGTCTTAATGGCCTGACATGGTGGATTTAGTTAAGGATATTTTCAGGAATTCGAATACTACATTAATTATTACCACCTCTAAGGCAAAGAACCAACTATATAATGGGAGGCTTCAGAATTTGCTTGGATAAAGTTCAATGTGGATGGCACTTCAGCTAGAAACCCACATTGGTGGCATTGCTCGTGATCATTTAAGTAGAGTAAGAATAACATTTCTAGATCCATGGATGTTTGTGATGCAAATCAAGCTGACACAATGACAATCAGGGAGGAGTTTTATATAGTTAATAAATATCTGAGGAAGGATAATATCTAATATTGGATAGAATTAAACTTTCAAAATGCAATGTTATGGTGTAATAATATCTCTAAGGCTCCTCAAATGTTTATAAGATAAAATTCAAAAAGCCCTTTAAAACACCTCAAAAAGATATTTTGTGTTATGAATATTTTTATGAATAGCCATTTATGTTATCTATATCTAGATCTGATGTAAATCAGATTAGATTAAGATTTAATCCATTTAATCTCTAAGCGTTATCTTCTTCTTGTAAAAAGGTTATTTACCTATAAATAGGCTCCCTTAGTTCATTTGTATACATACTTCAATAAGATTTCTTCTCTCCCCCTAAATACGCTCTTTCCCTCTAAATACTTTCTCTTATATTTCTCTTATAGTTGTTCTTTTAGAT